ATTGTGGAGTCAGTCTTCTTTTTATCTCCTTTATAAGGTTTTTAAAGGCTTATCTCTGCACTTTGTTGCTTGAAGGGTCTCTCAGATGATCTCGTTGCCCACCAGTTGCTACTAAAATTAGCTTGTCTTTGGTTGTCAATCTTGCTTCTGAAAAAAATTCTCTTCTCATGTCTATCATCATTAGTATTTTTTTTTCTTCTTCTGTGTCCTGGAATCTGGGGGAGAGCTCCAATTCGTCGAATTCCCTTTTCCATATTCCCTTCTTTCCACTTTCAACCACATTTGCTCCATTAATAAATTGATCTATTGTCTTATCTTTATCTTCTATGTCTTCATTCTCCCCTTTAATTTTTGGGGCTCCAACCCCATCATCTTTTGCTGTGAGGAAGACTAGTCTTTCCAACTTCTTCTCCATTCTCCCATATCCTTCCAATAGATTTTGAATGTTTAAACTCAGTTACTGTTCTCTCCCCTATTCCCTCGCCTGGAAGTTGGTTCCGAGCTTCCAAAATGTTCCAAAATAAAATAGGTGAATCTCTTTTTCTTTTTCCCTCGCAGGGAGAAGCAAACACAACTCGCCAGGGATCTGCAGGCGGCCACCACGTCCCTACTCAGTGTAAAGATGTGAGTTTGCCATATCTTAAGCCTGTGCAAACATCCTCCTCAGGGGTCACCCCCACCTGAGAGGGATCCACACAGGCAGTCCTCCGCTTACGACGGTCGCTGAGCTTGCCAGTCGTAAGTGCCCAAAGGAGTCACCCCGTGACCGTAACAGATTTTAATCTTCTCCTTTTTGTGGGGGTCTTTAGGCAAAAGCTTCGGTCATTAAGCGAAACCCCCCCGGTCGTTAATCAAACCCATCTTTTGCTAGCAGGCGTGATTTTTTTGCTAGAAACCAGGCGTAAACATTTGCCGTATACGTTTAGCAAATAAATAAAGAATAAAATAAAATAAAGCAAAGATCAGGAGGAAACTGAGCAGTCGGCTCCTTTTAGCGACCCCATAATGGCTTGCGGGGTGGAGTCTGGGTAACTGAATGGAGCTAGCAGAGTATTTTACTGGCCGGATGCCTCTCCTGTCACCAGGGGTGGGAGTTTTGTTCGGCAGATACAATTGTGCCTAGAGAGAAAAATATCTGGCTCTACCTAGGATCGAACTCACAGCCTCCTGACTGTGGGGCGAGAGCGCCCCCTCTAGGCCACACTACCCGGGAGGAAACAGAGCAATCCTTGAACTGAAACATTTTACAACGTTTCTTCTGAATGTTCTCCTTTGTTAGAGACTCGGAAAAAATGAAAACGGGAGAGAAGAAATCGGCTGGCGGACAGGAGTCCGAAGAGAAGAAAGGAGGTGAAAAATTGTGGAAAAGACCCTTCAGGTAAGGGGTTCCCTTTAGCAGGCGATCTCTCCTGCCTGCAGCCGGTCCTTGACTTACAGCCATTCGCTTAGTGACTGCTCAGAGTTACGACGGCAGCGGAAAAAGGAACCTAACGTCTGGTTTTTGCGCTTACGGCCGTCCCAGCATCCTTGAGCACTCATGTGATCAAAATTCAAGCACTTGGCAACTGACTCGCATTTACGACGGTTTCAGCTGCCACGGGAGGGTGGTGGTCACGGGATCGTCATTGGCGACCTTTATTTTTTTCCCCCAGTGCCGTTTTTGGCGACTCCGCCGGGACTCGAACCCGGAACCATTGTAGCTTTGAACGAATGGTCGTAATTCGAGGACTACCTTTTCCCCACCCACCCATCCCCGCCCCCCAGTCTTTCTTCGATTTTCCCCATCCCTGCTTTTCGTTTTCTTCTTCAGGTCAGCATCTGCCACTGCGCTCAGCACCGCCAGGTACAAGGAGGTGGTGAAAGGCTGGTTTGAGTAAGTGGTTTACTCCGTCCAAGAACGGAAAAATTATTATTATTATTTTTAAAAAAAGAAACACCCGATGGGTCTATTCCCAAAAATCCATGCGCTCTTGCAATCGGGCCGTTTTAAAATTGCAGCCGTACATTCGGGGGGGGGGCGTGGACATTTCCTTACCCCCCTCGGTCCTTCTTCCTGCACCTTCCGCGCAGTGGGTTCCGGATTCTTTTCCTGCCAGTTTGCTCAGGGACGCGCTTGATAGGCGCTACGTTTGAGGGCGCAGTAGTGAAAAAACTGCTTCTCCCCAAAAGCAAAAAAAAACAAGATGGCAGCATCTTCCACCACCGCCGATAGAACCGGTTTGGGGGCGTGGGCGACCGAGTTACTACCTACTCGGCTGAACCAGTAGTAACCCACATCTGGGACGGCCTCAAAAACGTGCCTAAATAGGATGGCATAGGGGCCGGGGTAAGTGGGCGGGCGCGCCCGCAATTTCCACTACCGGCTCGGGCGAACCAGTCCAAACTGGCCGAATACCACCTCTGCCCGCGGAGGAAGAAAGCTGGCGGGAGGAGAAGGAGGCGTGGCCAAGGGTAGGAGGAGCCTGACGGTCCCATTCCGTTCCTCGGATCGGTTGAGGAAGGATGAAAATTAAGAGGAGTGGGTTGGTTTGCAAAAGCAATCGCTGAGCCAGTGTCGTAGAGCATTTCCGCGTCTGTTCTTGAGTTGCCATGATGAGGAAAGAGGGGAGCGCATTCCATGCATACCTGCAGCTGGAGTCAGAGCCCACATTCCTACAGCAGGGTTGTGAGGTATGGGATACTACAACCTGCTGGAGCACCTCGTTGGATAATGTGATTTATGACACAGACTGAGGAGTGGGGNTCACCAGGAGACTGGGAGTTCTAGTCCCGCCTTAGGCATGAAAGCCAGCTGGGTGACTTTGGGCCAATCATCAGGAGACTGGGAGTTCTAGTCCCGCCTGAGGCATGAAAGCCAGCTGGATGACTTTGGGCCCATCCATCTCCCACTCTCAGCCCAACCGTCCTCGCAGGGTTGTCGTTGGGAAAACAGGAGGAAGGAGAATTAGGTAGACGCACCACCTTGAGTGACTTATTATATAAAGCAGTGTTTCTCAACCTTGGCCAACTTGAAGTCCGGTGGACTTCAACTCCCAGAAGGCTGGCTGGGGGATTCTGGGAGTTGAAGTCCACCGGACTTCAAGTTGGCCAAGGTTGAGAAACACTGATATAAAGTAATAAAAGGCACGCTCGGAGGCAGAAGGGGATCAAATAAATCAAAGAAATCCGGACATACCACCGTTTTATTGCCCTGAAGGTGAGATTTGGGAGGAAGCCAAGATGTCCCTCCTTTCTCTATTTCAGGCTGGCCATCCTGAGCTGCCAACTTTCGGCGGTGCAGGCCTGGCGCTGCCAGCTGCAAAACCAGGCGGAGGAGCTGCGGGGCAGGAACGGTGCGCAGAAATCCCAGTACGATTCTCTGCAGAGGCATTTCCAGCAGCAGGACGGGGCATTTCGCCAGGCGCAGGAAAAGGGGGAGCAGCTACTCCTACAAGTCCTCCAGGGGAAGGTGGCATCGGCCCAGCAGGAGAACGAGAGAATCGAAAGGTGAGAAGGGGGGTCGGGAGCTGAGTCAGATACGGGGGGGGGGGCTCTTTGAAGACCCGGAGGGGCTACCTAGGTGCTCTCCAAGCTGAGTTGCTTTCTTGCAGACATTTCTCTCTTTTTGTTTTGAAAAGTTTTTTTTAAATTTTAATTGAACAAAAACGGTTCCACCACAAAACCGCGGACGACAAAATCGCGGTCGACGAAAGTGCGTATGTGACGTCATCACAGCACGACGAAAAAGATCGAAAAATGTAAAAATAAAGCGAAAACTTACCCTAACCCCCCCAAACCTAACCCTAAACCTAACCCTACCCCTAACCCTTAACCTAACGAAAAACCTAACGNCTAATTTGGCTTTAAAGAAACATTTCTTTGGGCAGTCTTTAGCAAAATAGAAAAAATACCTCACCAGATGGACTCACTTTCTCTTTTCACTTCCTTTCTTCCTTCCAGAGCGTCCCAATTTCATCAGCCTAGGGGCTGCCTGTTTACCGCGGGCTTGAAGCACTTCCCTTGGGTCCATCAGGGATTTTGCGATATCCCTGAGACCAGCAAGGCTTTGTCTTCCTGATCACCATCTCTATGGGACAGTTTAGGTCTCAATGGACCCCCCGCCAGTGGCAAAAGTGTCAATGGCAGTCTCAGAGTATCGAGACCGCATGTTCTAACATCGCAGCATGGCTCTTCCTTTCTCTCCAAAGGAGCTTACTTTTGGCATCTTTTGGTCCACCCTATTTCATATAGTGGTTGTGAAAAATGTAGGAGGACCTAGCACTATGTATGTGCCTTGAGTTCCTGACAAAGATTGGATATAAGATACATGTTCATGTTTGTGGGCCAGAGAAGAACCACATATAGCAATAAAAATATCCAGACTTTTCTGCACACATCTTAAAGTTATTGCTTCTTGGGATAAGTCATTTTTTTGCAGCTGGAAAGGAGAGGTTTAAGGGAATGTGGGGCTGATTGGGAAACTGTCACCGAATGTTCAAAATGACCATGGTGTAACTGAAGTAGTAACCTCAAACAACCACAATTTCTCCAAATTTAATTTTTTTATCAATTGTCAGCCCTGAATTTTGGACATATTCTGTAAGACACCTCATTTGAGATACTTTGGTTCAAAAATGTCCTATGAATGATGCACCATTTCACCCGGTTAATAATAAAGACAACAAAAGTTATAATAGTATATAGATTGCACCAGAAGTTCAGCATGTTACATCTCATTTCTTGGTTATTGATTCAGGGCATAGTTATTTGACATATCTAGAAATTTAGTTTTCCATTTTATCCTGTTAATTCTTTTGTAATACAATAAAGCATTTCAATTATAGGAGAAATTCTGTATTCATTTTGTCATGTACCTTTTATCCTGCATTACACCTTTGTTTCTCTATCCTTTATAAACTCTTAGAAAGTATCCAATTATCCATCTGAAGCTATTTTATCAGAATCAAGGAATATATACAAAGAAATTATAGCCTTGTGCAAAATATTAAATGTATTGTCATTTTCATTTTTTATTTTCATTTCATTTTCATTTTATTGACATTTATAGGCCGCCCTTTTCCCTAAGGGGACTCAGGGCGGCTTACATTTCATAGGAGGGGGGTGTAAG